TTGCACGCTCCAGGAATACAGCTGCGCGGCGCCAACTTCCCCCGCCTCCTCCGCAGCTGGGCAGTCGTTCTAAGACGGGCGTCTAATCGTCGCAATTGTCCCGCGCGGAACCCCTTTGAGAAGGCGACCGATCCTCGCGAGCGCCCCGCGTGAGCCCCCCCCCCCAGGCAGGCGACTTGTCGTCTCGAATGCACCGCCCTCGTCTCCGCGCCATGGGCCGCGTCGGAGTTGCGCCCCCCCCCCCCCCCCCCAGGATTGGGATGGGTCGATAGGGGAACGGCGGGAGCGATGCCGACGTCACTTGCTTCCCCAAGTGCCCCATCGGGCAAAGATAACGGCGCCAACTCTTCCTCTTCTACCCCAGGTGCGCGACTGATCGCCGCAAGTGCGTCGTCACGACGCGAAGCGTTCATCGGCTTCCACGGAGAAGCGCGGCTGATCGCCGCAAAAGCAAGCGAAAGAGAGGCTTCATGGCTATCCGGGGGGGGGGCGGGCGGGCCGGGAGATCGCCCCGATCTCGATTCAGCCGCAACGTGGATATGTTCGATCGGGGGCGAGCCGATCCAGACCCACTCTGCCGCCCCCTAAGCTCGGGGACAGGGCGGCGATCTCCCTGCGACCGAGTTTCACCTCGTGGCCCCTCGCTGGCCTCGGGAGCGGGGGCTCGCGGGGTGGGCCCTCCTGGTATTCGTTCCCGCGATCCAGCGATCGACTCCCGCCCCAAGTCCTCCTCATCGTCGCAGCGGCCCCCCCAAGTCTGGCGGCTGATCGCCGCAAGCAGATCGAAAATAAGCGTGGGAAGCGGGGGGGGGCGTCATCGGATCCATCCGGCTCGAGAGCTCCGGTCGTGCAGCTCCCTAGCGCGCGGCTCTCGATCGCTCCGTCAAGGTGGCCGCGGCCTCCGTCGCCTCGCGTCTGCCGCCCCCTCCGCGCCAGCCCCCGGCGACGGCCCCGACGTGAGCCCTGGGGGCAAGGCAGTGGCCGAGCCAGGCGGACCGGACGGCCCCCGAGGCCAACAGCGCCTGCCGCGCCCGCGGCGCCAGCGGCGCCCGCGGGGCACGCTGCGCCCGCGGCGCCCGCGACGCCCGCGGCGCCCGCAGCGCCCGCGGAGCCCGCGGCGCCCGCGGCACCCGCGCGCTGGCTGCGCCGGCGGCGGCCGCGGCGCACGCCGCGCCCGCGGCGCAAGCGGCGCCCGCGACGCTCGCGGCACCTCCGACGCCCGCGACGCCCGCGGCACCCGCAGCGCCCGCGCCCTCCGCGGCGCCCACGGCGACCCTGGCGCCCGCCGCCCCCGCGGCGCCGGCGGTGCCCGCGGCGGCTGCGGAGCGCCAGCAGGGGCGGCGGCGCCAGCGACGCGGGCAGCCCAGGCAGCCGCCCGCTGGCGCCGTCGGCACGCCGCCGCCGCCGCTGGCAGCTCCATCACCCGCGGGCGCCAGGACAGGGACCCGGGGACCCGTCTCAGCGCCCACCTGGCCGGGCGAGATCGGGGCCAACCCGGGCCACCGGGCGTTCAAGCCGGCTTGGCCCCCCTCGAGCCACAGCGGTCTGAGCCAGAGGCTTGAGCCAGAGAGGGTACGGAAGCTGGGATTTTTGTTTCGCGAGCGCGCAGGGATGCCAGGCGCCGTCAAGAAACGCGGCAAACAAGCAACGGCCTAAAATCCGCACAAGAGCGCGCGGGAGCGAGCCACGCTGCGGCTCAAGAGACGCGGTGGACCAGGAAGGGCCACTGGCAGAGGTGCAGCACCAAAACGGCGAATTTCAAGTTGGTGGGGATACACGAAGCGTCTAGAAGTCGGCACACCGCTCACACGATTCGTGGCCCCATAGTGAGCTCCACTGAGGGCCCCAGTGGCAGCGCCCGCATGCAGTGCCACCCTCCATTGCGGCGTTGTCCTCAAACGTTTCGTGGCCGCCTAGGAAGCTCCACGGAAAACCCCAGTGGCAGCGCCTACATGCGGTTCTGCCCGCCATTCCGGTGCACCCCTCACTCGATTCGTGGCCTCATTGGGAGCTCCATCGAAGGCTCCCACTGGCAGCGCCCGCATGCGGTTCCACCCAAATTTCGGTGCCCCCCCCTGGCACGTTTCGTGGCCCCATGGGGAGCCCCACCGAAAGCCCCAGTGGCAGCGCCCGCATGAAGTTCCAACACCATTTCGGTACTCCGCTCACATGTTTCGTGGTCCCACAGTGAGCTCTACCTCAGGCTCCAATGGCAGCGCCCGCATCCCGATTTCGGTGCACCCGTCTGACACGTTCCGTGGCCGCATGAGAAACTCCACCGAATGCCACAGTGGCAGCGCCCGCATGCAGGAGCTCCACGGAATACCCCAGTGGCAGCGCCTACATGCGGTTCTGCCCGCCATTTCGGTGCACCCCTCACTCGATTCGTGGCCCCATCGGGAGCTCCACTGAAGGCCCCCACTGGCAGCGCCCGCATGCGGTTCCACCCAAACTTCGGTGCACCCCTCTGACACGCTTCGTGGCCCCATGGGGAGCTCCA